AGATAAACAACTTTATCGGACCGATACCAGCTTCTGTTGGTAATTTATCAAAGCTACGTTGGCTGGACTTAGCTGATAATAAGCTCAGTGGACCTCTTCCAATCTCCCGTGGAAGCACAGCTGGTCTAGACATGCTTGTTCACACAAAGCATTTGTGAGTAATACTGATTACTGTCTGTTCATTAAGCAACATCTTCGTCTCTCATTTTCATCTGATATACCACTTACCTCGCAGTCACCTGGGGAGAAATCAGTTCTCAGGTGAGATTCCAGATCAGCTATTCAGCTCAAATATGACTCTCAAACATTTGTAAGTTCCACTAAACTGGAAGTGTGTTTATATTTTGACAATTATTCGATGGATCAACTTCATTATTGTCCCACTCCTACGCTATGGTGCTAGCTCTGACACTTGGCACTACTTCCGTTTGGTTAATGGTTTCTTCTGTTTGGGTCTTGTAATTGCACAGGCTGCTTGAGCAAAACCAGCTTACTGGAAAAATACCCCTTTCATTAGGACTTGTGCAGACTCTGGAGGTGGTGATGTTCTGATTGGAACTCTATTCTGCTAAGAAAATGCATCAATCTTGATGTTGTGATATTACAGATTATGTCTTTCGATTACTTTAATTTGATTATGTGTCCTATGGTCATGTTTTGCAGAGATATGAGCAATAATACATTCAGCTCAGCTGATTTTCCTCAGTGGTTTTCAACTTTGCAGTCATTGACGACTCTGTATCCATCTCTCTCACCCTTTCTCTTTATCTCATAACATGCATGTGTGTATTTGTCTCTGAGTTCACGTGCCTCAGCAGAACTCACATGCATCTGAATGTATATGTTATCCTAATGAAGTGGTTCATAGAATTTGTTATGCACCTCATTTGTATTTGTTCTGCTCATAGTGTAATGGAGAACACTCAACTTCAAGGAGAAATTCAGCCAACCCTCTTCAGTCTTTTTCAGTTGCAGACTCTGTGAGTCTTCTTTTACTTTTAGGCCACGGTGCATGTCATGCAACTATTTTCATTTTTTCGCTGTGTGCTAGTCTTGTAACAAAGTTTGAAAGGCAATACAGAGTGACCTAGTATATGATTCTATGTTTTGCATTTTGATTTTACGACAATGAGGTGGTTATTTATGACAGCAACTTGAGGGGAAACAAGATCAATGGAACCCTGAATATTGCATCCAACTATAGTAGTCAATTAAAACTGATTGATTTGCAGAACAATTCCATCGATTCATATACAGTAAGACCTGGATTTCCTTTTCAAATAATGTAAGTCCTCAAGCCACTTTTTCTCCACTTTAGCAAAGAGAAAGAAATAATGGATCATTCATGATAGGACATTTGATTCTTCTGAATACAATTTAGTCGTTTAACAATCTCAGTTTTCTACTTGTTCATTTGGCAGACTTATGCATAATCCAGTATGTTATGAAGAAGGATCAGAAGACTATTGTGGCATTTCCCAAACAAACTTTGGATATTCAACTCCACAAGATAATTGCCTTAAAACACAATGCAGTTTTGATCAAATTCTTAGCCCTACCTGTAAATGTGCTTATCCGTACACAGGCGACTTATTCTTCAGAGCTCCTTCCTTTTCTGACTTAACAAACACAAGCATTTATGAGTCACTTCAGAAGTCTATGCTATCTTCTTTTAGCCAAAATCAGGTGCCAGTAGATTCAGTTTCCTTGAGTAATCCAAAAAAGAATTCAGAGTACTACCTTGACACCTGCAAGTTTTTCCATTTTGCCAAGATCATTTCAACCGTACAGGGATTGCTACAATTGGATTTGCACTTAGCCACCAGACTTACAAACCCCCACCAAATTTTGAACCATTCTTTTTCTAACTTACTAGATTAAGCACTAACTTCTTTTGAATGACTTAATTAAGTAGTTGACACTTGACAATGACCCTTAAATTTTGATATTCCTAAAAGAAGAAAAAAACTACTACTTTAATTTCGAGAAAAAACTAGACTTTATTTAATTATCTAAACCTAATCAAGTTGTTAATATTCATCTTATTTAGGATTAACACTCAATATGGTCAATTATTATTATGAGAAATATTCAATATTTGATCGATGCTTGTGATGAAGTTTTTTTCCCAATAAATTGGTATAGAGGGAGAAGATTACTATTCAGCTGCAAGTGAAAGTTTAAGTGACCAACTAGCTGAGCTACTAAGTAGGGATGACCAGTGGCGAATCTATTTGTAAAAAATAGGGCATCGGAACCCGTGGTCTCTTCGTAAAACTAGATATTTTATGTATATATTTTCTAAAATTTGTATTTTATTATATTCTTGCACCCGTGCTATAAGAAGTCTATCTGGTCCACTTTTTACCTTGAGGATGAAGAATCAATTCTCACTTAATACATTTTTCTTGATGCATCCATGTTCGGATCAATTTCCACTTAATACATTTTTCTGGGTGCACCCATGTTTGAAAAATCCTAGATTCGCCTCTGGGAATGACAATTGGGTGAGGCGGGGCAGGTGAAGCCTTGCATACACATTTCAAGTTGAAAGAGTAATATCGTCTCTGAAAAAATGAGTCATGGTTATTTTAGGAATTTTCTATAAACTCTTTTTTGTTATTTTGAACTATGAACTATTTATATCTTTAGCTTTAATTATATGTTCAGTAAAGGATCTATTATATATATGTATATAAACTACAAAAATTTAGCAGGTTGATATGCTCAAGTTACCAGGGAAAAAGAAGGTTAAAAGTTTAGATGCCAACATGCCAATGAAATTTTTTAGAAAGAAACTATAATGTGAATGAGAAATATATTTTGAAGTACATACTAGTGTATCACTGTGACACAATTTATGATTTAAAGGACAAAAAAGAAGGATTCTATCTAAATAAGAAAAGTAGAAAATATTTCAAAGAAAAAAAATACAAGGCAAGATCATAGGAAAAGAAGCTACATAAAGCTGCACAACCCATTTATTGTTCTCTGAAAATGTACTTTGACCTGCCCTGCCACAATTGTCATCCCTACTAGAGAAAATGGTCTAAAACCCCCCCAATCTATACTCGAAATCTCAACTACACACTCCAACTTTACGGGTGTCCTATTACCCACCTGAACTTTATATTTCTCTATTTTATACACACCTAAGTGCTGACCTGTCATGGGAGGTGTTCTCACCTCCTCTAGGCGCGTTAAAAGGTTAATTTTGACGAAAAATTCCTCCTTCTCCAATGGTCATCTTCCCCACTTTTAAATAAACCATTATTTCTTTTTCCCCACCATTAACCCTTGGTCCTTATATAAAAAAATCACAATTTCCTCTCAAAATTTAGTAGGGTTTAGTTGTTAATGTTCATTTCTACTTCAAATCTTGAATTTAGGATTTGTAATATGCTCTAATTTCTTATTTAGGTCTCTAATTTTAATTTTGAATTTTCTCGAAATTCATCAAAAATGGCAAGTGGAAACTTGAATAAGCTTTGTATGGATGAATCAAACCTAATTGGAACGATCTGAATCACTCCCTCCGAAAGATGAACAACGCGCCTAGAGGAGGTGAGAACACCTCCCATGACAGGTCAGCACTTAGGTGTGTATAAAATAGAGAAATATAAAGTTCAGGTGGGTAATAGGACATCCGTAAAGTTGGAGTGTGTAGTTGGGATTTCGGATATAGATTGGGGGGGTTCTAGACCATTTTCTCTCCCTACTACTAAGGTTGTTTTATGTTATCAAGTTGGCTATTCAAAGTTCTATTATGCTTAATAAAATATTGAAAGACATTTTCAATCGTTTTGTGTTGCCTCATTTTTAAAACGGAAAAGGGCCAAAAACTTGTAATCATATTTTAAACGGAAAAGGGCCAAAAATATCCTTGGAGTATTTGAAAAGGTTTAAATATACCCCTCATCCATCTATTTGGCTAGAAATACCCCTCAATCCACCTTTTTGGCCTATTTTTACCCTTAAAGCTTAACAGATTTTTTAAAATTATTATTATTAGTAGTAGTTATTACATGGCGTTTTTCTATTGGATAAAATTTAAATTTCCAACCCATTGGATTTTTTCCGATCCAAACCCACAACCCATGACCCAAATCCAATTAAACTTAATAATGAATCAACTCCTATATCTCTCCCTTAACCACATTAATCTCTGCAATGTACTACTGTAGTTATGGGAGAAGAGTATTGAGAATGCAGATGAAGTAATCATAATTTTTACGGTTTGATATAAAGAAGTTTTCCTTTTTAATTTGAAATTATTGGAAATTTATAAATTGAAGTAACGAGGTGTTCTGCTTAAGCACAGGTTTTTGAAAAATAGGCAGTAGTGATTTCTCAATTATGTGCTTTAAATGATTATTGAAGCAATGCCAACCAGATAAACAAGAAGAACACTATTATAAATATGAGAAGAAAAAAAAAAGAGTCCACATTATTCGTCGATCAATAAATGAGAAATCACGAAATCAATGTGATTCTGTTTCTGGGAAGTTTCGAATTTTTTCTTTTCAGAAAGAAATAATTTTTTGCATTTCCTGATTTCATTTCAAAACAATAATTAAAGAAATAACATTTGACAATAAAAAATACTTTTAGAGAAAATCTAAATATTGTAAAAATGCAAGACCAAATGCTCCAGTAAACTAAAAGTTCAGAAAAACTTTCGTTGTAGTAATGAATCTTTGGTGAAGAGCCAGGGAAGGAAGAGATACGACGTACTTGATTGATTGTGAGGTTTAATTGAATTTGGGTCTGGATCCGGGGCGGGTTGAAAAAAAATTAATGGGTTGGGAATTTAATTATATCCAATAGGAAGATGCCACGTAATAAATTATAATAATTTAAAAAAATTGTTAAGTTTTAAGGGTAAAAGTAGGCCAAAAAGGTGGATTGAGGGGTATTTTTAGTCAAATAGATGGATGAAGGGTATTTTTAAACCTTTTCAAATACTTCAAGGGTATTTTTTGCCCTTTTCCGTTTTTAAAATAACACCAACAGTGGTATCAAGAGCTTCATTAATCTTAAGGGATTTGAGAAATCTTCAAAAAAAACTACCATACATTTTTTAACCCGTAAGAGTTACCTTTTTAACCCATCAGGGCTATCCATTTTAACTCATTCAGAGTTACCTTTCAACTCGTGCTTTTCTCAACGCACAAGCTTTTCTAAACCATTTTTAATGAAAATAATGTCAAGCAATAGTCTCTCTTTGAATGCCCAAAAAAATTCACTGGTGAAAACTATCAATTTGGTCAGTGAAAATGAAATCGTATCTTGAACCCTATGATCTGTGGAAAGTTGTAATGGAAGATATACCCGTACAACCTCTCCCTACAAATCCTATCCTTGCTCAAATTAAATCTCATTCGAATGAAAAATCAAAAATGTCAAAGCCAAAACTGTAATTCAAAATTCAGTTGCGTATTTGATTTTTTCTAAAAATTCTTATGACAACTCCAGAGAGATTCGAATCTAAATTTCATCTCGGGAAGAGTCTGAAGATCTCTCTACTATTTCTATTGAAGAACGAATAAGTGTTCTTCAAGCACAAGAGCAAAGAAGAGCCTTCAGGCAAGATAATGTTACTGAGGATGCCTTTTATGCACAAAAAGAGAAGAGAAAAAGGTAATTACTCTTTGCAAATACTGCAAAAGAAAAATACACTTGGAAAATTTTTGTTGGTGGAAACCTGATGCAAAATGTGGAAATTGCAAACAAGCCGGTCGTGCTACAAAAGTATGCAAGCTAAAAAACAATTTTCAAGCACAAGTTGTAGAAGCAGAAATCGAGGAGGAGCAACTTTTTTAAATTGCAGTATCTAAAACAAAGGAGGAGTGATGAATTTGTTTTTTAGTTATTGCATTCATTTTTTAAAATAATAAGTTACCTTGTTTTTGGATGAATTTGAATTTTAAATATTTGTTAAAAGTTATTTTAATTGTTGAGATTATGTTATCAAGTTGACTGCAGCTTAATAAAATATTGAGAAACATTTTCGATAGTGTTGTGCTGCCCTTTTTAAAAAAAAACGAGAGTAGGTGAAATGAAGCAATCCCTTATTCAACTCCTTTACAAGTAAATGCATCAGATAGCTGTCATTGATAGGCAGAACTTGAAAAGGGATTTGAAGTTGAAGTTGTCTTGTCGATTTTAATTTCTGAAGTTGATCACATATATGGTAGTTTCTATGGCAATGATGCTGCGAATTTTCGTCAGTTTTCTGGTTGTTTTGATCCAAGTTCTGTCAGTAGCAGCACGAACTAATCCTGTTGATTGTAAGTTGCTTTTGTTCTTCTCTATCAAATGTTTCTTAACCAGTGTACAGAGATATTTGATTTATCTGTGAGTACTGGTGTTCAAATCTTAGTTCCTTTTTGTAATCATATGAAGAACTTGTCTCTTAATTGCAATAATCTTGAGGGAACATTAAATATTTCCTGTTCTCTTCTAGATATGGTCAATTAAGTGTTCTAGTGACGAACTGATTCAATATTTTATACAGCTGCTGCTTTAAAGTCTCTCAAGGATTCTTGGTATGGTCCTTCCAATTGGACAGGAGAAGATCCCTGTGGGAGTAGTTGGGAAGGAGTTGGATGCAGAAATTCACGAGTGATTTCTATGTAAGAATTCGGTGTGTATCCTTTTGTCAACTGCTTAAAATTACAGAAATCATATGGTTGATGCCATCTTTCTCAATTTCAGAACACTGTCAAGTATGGATTTGAACGGTCAGCTATCTGGAGACGTCCAAGGATTATCTGAATTGGAGACTTTGTAGGTCTTCCTTTCACATTTCGTGTTTCTACTTCACTCCCTTTTTTCTTTTGACGGAGCAATACTTTGTCAGTTCTAATTATGGACTGCTCCTTATAGGGATCTATCATACAACAAAGATTTGACCGGATATCTTTCTCAGTCTATTGGAAAATTGACAAAGTTATCAAATTTGTAAGTGAATGTGAATAATCATCACTCGAGTATTCACTTACCAGCTAATCTCGTGATAATATGCTGATGTTTTCTTGATTTCATGACAGGATCCTTGTTGGTTGTGGATTTTCTGGACCAATACCAGACTCCATAGGATCTCTGACCCAGCTGTTTTTTCTGTAAGCATTATGTGGCACTCTTTGTACTTTGAATGTGCGACCAGTACGTGACATATTTTACCAGAATGCAAGGGTCATACACTATCTGCTTAAAATTGTTAACGTAATGTGTGCTTTTGGTGCTAGCTGTACTCAAATTTTGGTCCATCTCTGGGACAGGCAATGCACTTCTAAACAGAGAAATCAGTTCATGAGGAGTTCAATCCATACTGCTATTCTTGTGTTTTATACGTTATCAAAAGTTGAACTGTTGTGTTTACCATATCTATCTGTATATGATTTCTTTCAACCCTTCTTCTGGTATATGCTCTAAAACAGCCCCATTCTGTATTATGCAGATCTTTGAACTCTAACAAATTTACTGGAGGAATACCTGCTACCATTGGCTATCTGACAGAGCTTTATTGGCTCGATTTATCTGACAATCAGATAGAAGGAAACATTCCAGTCTCTAGTGGGAGCAACCCTGGTCTTGATATGCTTGTTAACACTAAACACTTGTACGCATCTCCTTTTTCTTGATGTTGTTTCGTCTCTCAACTGCATTTTCTAAGATTATTTACATTTCTTCAGTCACTTTGGGAAGAATCAGCTATCCGGTGAAATTCCAGCTCGTCTTTTCCATTCTAAAATGACTCTGATACATCTGTAAGTTCCATCGAATTGGAGAATGGAGTGAATGAATAATTTTGTCCGTAAATATTGGGGACCTCACTTGTAGTTGAGCTTGCCTTTTGATATTCTTGTTAGTGCATGTTTTTACTTCTGAGAGTAGTCATGTGAAAGAAGCTTGATAATTATATCACAAACAACTTTCCTTTACGGTTTCCTCATGCTTGTATATTCCAACTTGTAGGCTAGTTGAGAACAACAGGTTTACCGGGGTAATCCCAGATACATTAGGATTTGTCCAGACGATGGAAGTGCTGTAAGTATTGCTATCTTGTGCTTTCCCTTTATCATCTAGTAAAGTTGCTTTCTGAATTGTTTCTGGTATTGCAATAGTCGTCTTGACAGGAATTCATTCAGTGGATCTGTTCCACAAAACCTCAACAATCTCACACATGTCAATGAACTGTAAGTAGAAAATGAAACAATTTTCTGAACCTACTGTAGGTCCTCTTGATTTTTTGAAGTAGTATATTTTGACCATGTATTACAGCGACATATCAAACAACAATTTGAATGGCCTTTTGCCGAATCTCACTGGCATGAATGTCCTCAACTACTTGTAAGTTGCTTATCCTAAGTTTTGTGTCTTTATCCCTTTGAGTTGACAATCCATTATTCTCAACATAGTACTATAAATATTTCTCCCCAATCACGATTCACGGGCACTTTTTTTTTGCAGGGACATGAGTAGTAATACATTTAATGCATCAGATATTCCATCATGGATCCTAAGCCTGCAATCATTAACAACATTGTATACTCTCTCTCTCTCTCTTTTTTACTAGATTTGGGAACGTGCGTTGCACGTTTATCCCAAAATACTTATATAAATTTTGTATTGCAAATGACATATTTTATCCCCTTCAAATCTTTGGTATTTACAAAGAAAAATCTATCATTGTTTCTATAGGAACTACATATATCTTCCTAATTAAAAAAAATATACCTTTAACTATAAAATTGACTAAAAGTTAATAAAGTAAAAATAACTAACTATTGCACAAATTCAATATTCAAATGAGGATACTAAAACACCACATGCTAGGCTAATGTATACAAAACAACAAACCATGATAAATTCTCAATAATAACAACACAACAATAGAAAGTTGTACAATAACAACAAACAAGAAAAATAAATGTTAAACTAAACAAATAAAAAGAGACAAGAGAAGAGAGCATAGAGATTTTCTCATATTTTTTTTCAATTGGTTTAAGTGTGTAAATTATTGTGTCAAATGTCATTATTTATAGGATAGCATTGAGGAACACAAAGAGTTGTCATAAATATGATATTAATCCATTTGAGATTATTGATGAGAGTAAAAACATAATGAATATAATTGGTGGGAATTACATACATATAATGAAGAGTTAGTGGTAATTTATGTATACTAATATGATGATTTACTATTTACTACTATTTAATTTATTAAACAATTTATAACATTTAAATATAATGTAGAAATAAAACCGTTATCTAAGGATAAAATATGTAAAAGAATTCAAATATATTAAATGTGTAGTGAAAAATCATTATGACTAATTATTAAAAAATTCATAGTAACTATGATTATGAAAAATCATTACTATTACTACATGGAAGATGTAAAGATGGTTGTTTTTTTCTTGCTAATAATAACTTACAATTTAATAATGAGTATTGAATTGTAAGTCTAGCTGGAAATAGGAGTGTTAACTACCATAATACGAACAATCAAAATTCATTGAATCCCAAAATAAATATTAAATGAAAAAATAATATTTTAAATAAATTCAAGAAAATAAATTAATAGTTAAAGGGTATTTTCGTAATTCAACTTTTGACTTAGATTCTTCCCACTTTTAATATAACTAGTTCTCGACACGTGCGTTGCACGTGCATCCCATATTAAGTAATATAATTCATAATTAAATTGGAGGTTAATGAGCAACAAATTATATGGATATGCTCCATGTATGAAATTCAAAAGTCCATGTTATATGGATATGCTCCATGAAATGAGGAAAAGAAGTTGCATGTTATCAGAAGTCCAAAAGTCCAGGTAAGATGGATATACTCCATGTATGAAATTAATTAAATGAATTTAATCATTAATAACTAACGAAAATTATAATGCCATAACTACAGAATCAAAATGCAATTGCTAGACTTCTAATTCAGTAAATAAAATATGATTATTTCATTAAATTTACTGGTTAATTAAATATTTAATTATATTTTAATTTAGTGTGGGGTAAATTCGTAATTCAACTTTTAAGTTATGAGCTTCCCACTGTTAATATAAAATATAAAATAATAATATGATTTATTGGTTAATTATATTTTAATTTAGTGTGGGGGTAAAATCGTAATTCAACTTTTAAGTTATGAGCTTCCACTTTTAGTATTACTAGTATCTGGACACGTGCCATGTTATTTTGTTCAAACTTATTCATTAAGATGGAGGGAATATATAATAGTTAAATATATTGGTTTTAAAAAATGAAAGCTTATACTTACTAAAATAAAAAAATTACAACACATATCAATTCTCTCTTTACATATAAAGTAGAAACAACTGCTAAAAGTATAACAAGAATATTTGAATCCTAAAATTAAAATATTACATGTTGGAATAATAATACATAAACATTGTGCATTACAATAAATCTGTATTGAACTTTGTTTAGTGAAGTTGATGTTACTGGCTAATCGAACTCTAGACGCCAATAGCTTTAGATACTTTCCATTCTCTCAAATTGTTGCTTTCTCTTCAAGAACAAAAAAGAAGATGAAATTAATTAATAAATTAAAATTATGCAAGAGCCTATAAAAATGGTGAGAAAGAATTCAAGAATCCTTTCTTGCCTTTTATAGCTATTTTTTGAGTAAGAATTCAAGAATCCTTTCTTGTTTTTTTATAGCTATATTTCAATTTTCATTCCTTGAACCTTTTCTTTCATTAGTCTACATTTAATTATTCAATGCAACTCTTCCTATTCTCCAAACTATTTAGCAATGAATAACGCACACTTAAATTTGATTAATGGGTAAATCATTAAGGGCTACATTTAAATTGGACTTTTGAATATCTACAGATTCACAAATCTCATGTAAATTTAAATACAATTACTACTATTTCAATTAGATTAGGCATTTTATTTTAATTAAATATAAGAGAAAAATTGTAATCTAACTTTAAACACTTGTTTTATTTTTCTCCATTTTTATTCATGTTTAGTACATTCACCTCAGACTAATATTCTACTTTGAACAGAAATAACACAAAGCAATAAATATATAGAGATACATATTCCAAGCCATAATAAATGTCATTATTTTTTATTATGGATACATTCACCTCAGTTCTCACTCCATGAATTTCCGTAACATTTCATTAATTTGACTGGAAACATAATAAGTATCATTATCTTTTAGTTGGAATATGAATGTCAAAGAGTGCCCTCTCTTTTTTTGTGTGGATAATTTAGTGATTTTATATTTATGTATATTAATTTTGAAGAGATAATACATTTTTATTATTATTTATTTAGATTAGATGTTGTATCTATTACATTTTAATTAAGTATAGGGGTAAAATTGTAATTTAACTTTGAAGATAGGTGCTTCCCACTTTTAGTAATTAGTAAAAATTACTCCCTCTATCCCTAATTACTTGTTCACTTTTGAATTGACACACCTATTAAGAAAACAATTATTGACATAGTGAGTGTACCATTTTACCCCTATTATTAATTATAAAGTGGATGGATTAAAAATTTAAGATTTTCAAGAAATTTTACCTTTTTCAAAGTATTTAATTGAGGGTATAGTAGGTAAAATTATTTTGTCCTTTCTTGATTTGTCAAAATGAACAAGTAATTAGGGATAATTATAAAAGGAAAAGTGGACAAGTAGTTAGGGACAGAGGGAGTAGTAAATTAGTAATATATATAATATATATATAATATAATATATGATATGATGTGTGTGTGTATGCACGACCATGAGCAGGTGCATGTGTGTATGGGGCTCGTGTATATGCCTGCATCCATTTGAATATGGACTGATTTTATTTTTTCTTGTTTTTATGGATTCAATTCCTAGATGTTCTTTTTAACCGTTTGACTGACCTTGTATTGTCAGGGTGTTGGAAGACACGGGACTTCAGGGATCAGTTCCAGCTAACCTTTTCAGCCTACACCAGTTGCAGACAGTGCAAGTGTCCCTTTTACTTTGTGTCGTTTTTGTATGAAGTATAGATTGAGTATCTGAAGTTGAATTTATCTTTGCTGAAATTTCCGAACTCTGTATTATGCTGATAGTTGTTGACAATGTGCTCGTTGCTTACAGCATCTTGAGGAATAACAAACTCAACGGCTCTCTTGAAACTGGAACCACATATAGCAACCAGTTGAAGCTCATTGATGTGCAAAATAATCTTATCGAATCATTTACTCAAAGACCAGGGTATCCCTTTCAGATAAAGTACGCACTATTCCATGATTCTTCAAGCCATAAAATCTCCAAGTTGATAAGAAACACCATACGCGAGACAGTTTTTTGCCTAGCTTGTTGTGTCGTGTGATTATTCTATGCTCAACTTGACTATATACTCGTTTATTTACTTTTTCCTATGCAGGCTTGCAGGCAATCCTATCTGCAATGAAAGAGGAGAAGGGAGAAAAACTTACTGTATGGAAACTCAACAAACTGAGACATACTCAACCCCACCAGAGAATTGCTTGCCAACTGAGTGCAGCTCTAATCAAGTTTCTAGTCCTACCTGTAAATGTGCCTTTCCATATACAGGAAACCTAGTCTTCAGAGCTCCTTCCTTTTCAAACTTGGGAAATAGAACTACTTATGAGACTCTCCAAAAGTCTTTGTTGCTTTTCTTCCAAAAACGTCAACTGCCTGTGGAATCAGTTTCCCTCCGTAACCCAATAAGAGATTTAAATGACCACCTTGTAATACAGCTGCAAGTTTTTCCATCTAGCCAAGATCGTTTCACTTGGACTGGTGTTTCTGGAATAGCTTCTGTGCTTAGTAATCAGACTTTCAAGACCCCATCGTCATTTGGACCTTTCTTCTTCATTGGTGAAACCTATAAATACTTTGTCGGTAATAGAACTATTTCCTTTTCCTATTTATCACTCATTTCTCATCTCCTACATATATGTGCAGCCTAATCTATAATTACAGAAAGTTGGTGGCTGAAGAAACAATATATATTTGAAATCTTGATGATTAAGTTTGTATGTACTTTCGTTTGACAGAAGAATTTACTGTATTTTTAAGACTTTGAACGTGAATAGCAACTATTACAGATCTACTGTTTTGATAACTATATCAATCCTTTCTGAAGTATTCAATTTAGAAGTACAAGACCCAAAAAAAATTGTCTAGTCATTGAATTTGAGACAAAGATACGATAAAAAAACTAAAAATTTAGGCTACGTGCATGTGATGGATCAACTTTCGTTCATTGTTACTAGTGATTTTTCTGTTAGAGTTTGCATAAACTTCAATGGATTTATTAATAACGTTTTAGTATAGACGCAGGTTATTCTGATCGGTCTCCTTAGAAAAACTGGTTCATTAATTGACAGCTGAAAATTCAAATTATTGTTTGGAACATTATGGAGCTACATCTAAACGTTTCATGTTACTGAAGTCTGAGGCTGTGCTTGCTGTTTTCTAGGGGAATCCACAGGATCAAAAAAATCAGTTAGTACAGGCATTATTATTGGAGCTACAGTTGGTGGTTCTGTCCTTGCAATTTTAGCACTAATCATTGGTATTTATGCTTTCCGGCAAAAGAAAAGAGCTGAAGATGCTGCAAAGAGGAGCGATCCTTTTGGTAAGAGTTGGAACTAACTATTAGGCCATTTACCTATTACTTCATCTTACGGTTGTTGTTGCTATCTTCCTTCTTAATGCAGCATCCTGGGACTCAAATAAACATAGTGGTGCTGTTCCACAGCTGACAGGAGCTAGATTTTTCTCATTTGACGAACTAAAAAAATGGACTAATAATTTTTCAGAAACCAATGTTATTGGTTGTGGTGGTTATGGAAAGGTCAGCTTTTATGCTCTGATACACTAAGCATGTGTTCTGTTAGCAGTACTGCAGCCTTCATTCGTTCTGATCTTAATCATCTTAGACTTAGTAGTTAGTACTACCAGTTTCTTTGTCAAAGTGTCAGGCTATTTACAGACGATAATGAACTGATTGTATATTTGGATGGAGAAGTCTTGATTCTTCCACCCAAGATAATTCACATATTTTGGTTTCGGATGTAATACAATAGCTCTAATCTATTTAATTAATAAGATCCGGTAAGTATGGATATTTTTTATCTTGTTTGTACCAGCTTCTCTTTCCACTGAAAAGAAAATTTCTCGACTACAATTGAAACTGTATTAAGTTTTTAAACTGTAGAAGTGTGGCTCTACAGGTTTACAGAGGAAGTCTTCTGAACAGAGAATTGGTTGCAATTAAAAGAGCTCTACAAGGGTCTATGCAGGGCACACATGAGTTCAAAACTGAGATAGAGCTTCTCTCAAGGGTTCATCACAAGAATGTCGTTGGCCTTGCTGGCTTTTGTTTCGATCAAGCTGAACAGATGCTTGTGTACGAGTACATTCCTAATGGCACCTTAAAAGACGGTCTTTCAGGTATATGTTGATCCCTTCTTGTTGATTAATTGAAACTAGCTCCTTTTAACTTAACCAAAATGCAAATGGAATGAAATTTGTACTTGTAGGTAAGACTGGGGTCAGGTTAGATTGGATGAGGAGATTGAAGATAGCCATTGGAGCAGCCAGAGGTTTGCAGTATTTGCATGACCATGTCAATCCCCCCATTGTACACAGGGACATCAAGTCCAACAATATTTTGCTAGCTGATCACCTAAACGCAAAAGTTGCTGATTTTGGCCTGTCCAAGCTTCTAGGTGAAAGGGGTCATATTACCACTCAAGTCAAAGGAACAATGGTAAGTAAAGATTCTATAAACACCTGCCTGAACTTGTTTCGTTTTAGAATAATGTATGCTCCCTCAAATTTCTGATGTCCAGAAAGTTCAGAAATTAAATGTGTCGATAATTTCTAGTCCTGTAATAACCATTACAAGCACTATTTCATTGTCTAGTAAGAACACCTGAAGCTCCTCCTTTCTCATCGACCACCCTTCCCTCCACTAAAAATGAGTAAATAAATAAGTAGGAACAGGAAAATACGAAAACGTTTTATTTATTTCTTGATATTCTCTCAAGGTAAGGGACTTGTAGGTAATGATGCTTAAAAACACCAAATTTAAGGAGAAATACTACCTTGATTAGGAAACAATGAGTTATTGCCCATAGCAGATAGAAGCTTTTTAACGTTCATATAATGTGATCTTGCCATGTATGAAAGGAAACAAGTTGAGATGTTGCAGAAAAATGTGTCAGTATTTACCTTATAATCTATGTCCTTTTGATGGTTGCCTTTTATTTATTAGGGATACATGGATCCTGAATATTACATGACAAACCAGTTGACAGAGAAGAGTGATGTTTTTAGCTTTGGAGTGGTGCTGCTTGAGATAGTCACAGGAAAAGTTCCTATTGATAAAGGAAGATATATTGTCAAGGAAGTGAAGGATGCAATGGACATGACAAAAGATTTGTATAACCTTCATGAAATTTTGGATCCTGCAGTTTGTTCGGGTGCAACTCCTAGAAGCTTAGAGAAGTTTGTGGATCTAGCACTCAAGTGTGTTGAAGAAAAAGGAGTCAATAGACCTAAAATGAGTGAAGTGGTGAAACAGATTGAATATATTATGGAGATCGAAGGCCTGAACCCCGATGATGAATCTGCATCTACTTCAGCAACCTATGAAGGAGCAAACAAAGGCTTGAACCATCCTTATACTGAAAGTCTCTTTGTCTATAGTGAAGCATAATTTTCTCATCTTGTATTTTTTCAATTGGATTACAAAAAAGCACAAAACAAAAGAAGAAAAGAAGGAAAAATAGTCAGTATAGGGTTGGTCGCTTGTACTTGAATGAGAAGTAAAATTGCCATCATTTTAGGGAGTTAATATTTCATATGGTCACTCAACTTTGAATAATTCACTTAGAAAGTCACTCAACTTTGAGTTGTTTATTTAAAAAGTCACTCACCTTTGTTTTATAATTCAAAAGTCACTCAACTACTGATGTTTTATTTAGAAAGTCACCCAACTATTTATATTTCACTTGAAAGTCATTCAATCAATTTAAATAATTTTATCATAAAATATTTTTAAAGAAATAATAAGATATCTATTTTAATTATCTTATTGTTCCGCTTCAATTATTATAATTATAATTTTTCTAAAAACACGTAGAGTAGCGATTGACCCCCCAAAAAAACTTTTCCGTTCCAGTAATTGTAAAACTAGAATTAAATTGTTAAAAAATAATCAAGAAGAAAGGTTGGAATTGATAATAAGTAATTAAAAAAAAAGGGACAATAACAATCTTCTACTATTTTTTTTTAAGAAAAGGTAAAAACAAAAACTATATATCAACAAACTTCAATAAAATAATTTAAATAAGTATCTTATTTTAATTTTTTAAAAATAGTTTAATTATTTTTTATATTTTTACAAATTTTAATGAAAAAATTATTTAAATTGATTAAGTGACTTTCTAAGTGAAATATAAATAGTTGGGTGACTTTCTAAGTGAAACAACAATAGTTGAGTGACTTTTGAGTTATAAAACAAAGTTAGAGGAAGGGCTTAAAATAGTCCATTATCTTTGAGATTAGACTCAAAATAGTCCTATTTCTTTTTTAGTGGAGCATTAATAGTCCTGATTTTTAGCGGAGCATTAATGCTAAAACTAGAGCTGCTGAACCATCTGCTTGAAAAACAACAAGTGAAAGTGAGCTACCTGGGTTGTTTTTCTTCTTGGCTAAGAAAACTGGACAATGTGCCTTCCAATGGCCTGACATCTTGCAATGAAAACACTTGCCCTTAGACTTTTTCACGCCCCCAGTTGGAGGTGCAATTGCCTTAGCTTTGTGAGCCTTTTTCTTCTTCTGTCCACCTTGCGGTTTAGAAGTAGAAACTTTCTCAGTTAGTGCCATGGAAGGTGCCTTTTTGACAAGTGTCTCTGCCGCCTGCAGCTCATTCAACAATTGTGCCAAAGATAGACTCATCTTATTCATATTATAATTTAGGCAAAACTGTTGAAAACTGTCAGGCAGAGACTGCAATATCATCTCAACTTGGGAGTCATTGTCAATTTCAGCCCCCAAGACCTCTAGTTCATTCAGAAGACCTATCATATTTAGAACATGGTCTCTTACAGGAGTGCCTTCAACCATCTTAGTGTTCATGAGAGTTCTCATGGCAGTCTGCTTAGCTGATCGACCCTGGTCTCCAAACATTTGTTTGAGATTCTCCAGAATTTCAAAAGCAGATAACATAGCTTGATGTTGATGTTGCAACACATTTGACATTGAAGCCATAATGTAACATCGCGCCATCTCATCAACTTTGCGCCATTTCTGATAAGCTAGCTTATCCTCATCACTAGACTGTTCATTTGGTTTCAATGGACACTCTTCATGAAGTACCAACTTATATTCTTCAGCAGTTAACACAATGTCAAGATTTCTCCTCCAGTCAACATAGTTAGAACCCTCTAGTTTATTCTGACCCAAAATAGTACTAATGGGATTAAAAGGAGACATGTTGAATCTGAGATTGAAGAAAAAGTTACAATAGATCAATCTAAACAGTCATATAATCATTGAATATTTACATTCAAACTCATCATATACATATACATTCATGCATCTTGAATAGCCAATCGATGGGATTGGAGAACTACTCATACAATATAAATATATAATGACCGATTATTCACTCCATAAACTTATTTAGACCTAACTCAGATGGAGAGTCTACTGTTAGTTTAAGTCAAGTGAAAATCCTCTAGTTACATTGATCCAATCATATATTACTCAGTTTTAGGAGAGTTAATAAAGATTATCAAACTAGCGATTAAATACGTAGTGACTTGTATTAAATTCATCCGATGGGGAGGAAGGTCTAAGCCAACACATAAATTTAATACTTCATTACTATTTTAATCTTGGTAATTAAAGAAAGAATCCTCATCACCATTTTATTTCTTCAAATTTTATACAAAAATTTCCAGAAAATAAAGCGTAAACATGACCAGTTCAATTTGTTTAAATATACCATACAATGACATATAACATAAACAATATTCCAGAGCATCTTGTTCACTGCCGCCTTAACACAAATAATGCACACAACTTTTAACTATTACTATTCAATCAATTGAAAAGTTTTTAATTTGCGTTAATCAGAAAAGGAAAACATGCAGGTCCACCATGAAACAAAATTTCATAAAGAAGTTGATACCTATTCATGTGAATTACGGGCATACAACCTTTTAAAATATACACGGTTAGAAAAAAAATCCCACCGAGCCGCCGTCGTCAGAACTCTTGTGCTATCACAATAATCTTTTAAAATTAATCAATGCAGATTGACCACAACTTTTACCAACGAATTTACATGTCTGATTATCGTATGCACTCATCAAAACAAACCAGTCTAGTTTCATCAATTCTGCCTTCATCGTGATAAAATAAAATTCACCAACCACGATTCACGCATACAATTTCACATACGCATATTTTAGGTTATCTATAAAGATGCAAGTATGGCTCATGATGCCAATTGTTAGAAAATAGCATTCACAGCGGAAGCATACCAGAATCATACATCTTGCATGAGTATAGACAACAATCACAAATACGTATCACATACAAGGTATGCTGAAAATTAACTCAGGATTACCTCTTGAAGCGTGTGCAGATATCTTGAAGCAAATCCAACTCCAGCTCTACAGTCTTCTACAGTGATCCCAATTAACAATTGAACTCTCTCAATACTTGGGTGGGCAAGTATCGTATAGAATACTGAATTCTCTTTCTAGGTTAGAAGAATCCCTACTTATAGAGATGTCTTCCCAGTCCAAAAAAGGAGAAGAAAGTATAAATCCTTATTCTTCAAGAAAACCCCAAAACTCACGTTTCTTTCTTGGAGGAAAATATACACGTTACTTTTCCTTCTTCTACTAGAAAATAGGATTCTGAGTTCTAGTTAAATTGGGCACTGGAGGGACCACAGAATTTATTACTGAGGCTTCCTATTATGGAAATAATTCCAAATAATTAATTTGAATTATTCTTACCATAATAAATTACAAATCATTCCACTAAAAATTCGTAATTGCACTCCTCTATTTATATTTCGAAATTCACCATTAAACACTTATGTAATTCCCCATGTTAAGATTCCAGATACTAATCAATAAATTAAATTACTGACGAATTTAATTCAATGATTAATTTCCTTTAGAGCAACACTTAACTTATTTCATGTGCCAGATTCATAAATCTACCGGCCGGGTTTACACATGAAAACTTATAAGTTTCTCATAAAAAGGTGTATCATCAATCTCTATACTGAGACATGGATTCCATCAACTAACTAATTATTTCACCAATATATATTATTATCATCCAATCTACCAGGCATATTGACCCATCTCAGAATCTCACCTTTTAATAAATCAAAACAATAATTAATATATACAGATCATAATCGTTATATCAAGATTAAGAATATAAGTACATTTAACAGTTTAGAGAATATGTTTTTATCAGTCAGTCTAAAACATCTATCTCTGCTTGGTCCCGTTCAATACATACAAAATGCACTAGCACGAGAAGTTAGAACTATACCATTCTCATAATCAAGATAGATTACATTTAATCTCGTGCTACAATCTTTCTGATGGTTTTGTCCAAAATTTCCATCTACGATTGTGAACTATAACTTTTAACTTATAAGAACCGATGATTTAATCTTCTGTGTATAAGCTTAAACTCTATACACCAAATCATCTACTATATAAGTTAAGGACACATATATGACAATTGATCTATTTAATGTAACACTTTATTGAATTGAATAAATGAATAAACAATTGTTCAATAATAATACTATATCAAAACGCATGGTTAATAGTATATCCTAACACCATCCAAATTCATGGAAGTTTTTACAATGGTTACATTCGTTTCTTTCATCCTAGCAACCGTACCGGGGAATTCTATCGCACTCCGTGCTTTTGATCATGCAGAATCTACCAAAGGTTCAAGCCAGATTGTAGGAAGTGGGTGATACATTTTTGTATTTCTATGAGAAGCTCAACGGAACCCACGATTCCCAGTGGTAAGTTGTTCGGCATATCACGCGTAAACTCTATTCGATTAGAATTTTTTTTAGATTTAAATAGAGATAGTCCTAGATCAAAATATTAGGAATCAAAGCAAGGAAAGTAGCATTGATGGAATGGGGGATCACACCTTCAGCAAAGAAATAAAGTGACCAGCTGGAAGTTTTTGAAATCCCAACAATAATTTCTATATAAAAAGAATTTGGAAAACCTGATGGCTTTAAAAGATAGGGGTTCAATTGTTCCCTGACGCTCGGTTGACATAACTTGATCCTTAATTTACTACTTCAAGAGTCAAATAATTTATTTTACTACAGTTTTCTGATTATTTTTTAAAACATTTTGAATTATTAGCTATGTTAACTTGTAATACTTTTCATATTAATTTTAAATATGTAAAGTTTATTGAATCTATACCCGAAATCATAATCAATATGAATGTCACTTATTTTCCTACTAAGTCATTTTCATGTCACTTATTTTCCTACTGAGTCATTTTCAAAACCTTATTTTTTTAGAAAAAATAATTTCTGAAAATTTTGACCAATAAACATTAATGAAAAAAAAAAAAAGAGAATTTTATTGATATCTTTTTCTCAATAAATTCTTTCCAAAATATCAATAGCATATATATATATATATATATATAAAATTACTCTTAGATAGGGCTACTTGCCAAATTCCCTTTCTTTGGACAACCAATATGAGTAGTGAGTGAACCCACCTCATTAAGACCAACATATCTACCTTAGTCAACACAATGGACCCAGGCCCTTGCTTCGGATGATCATAAAAC